AGTTTGTTCCTGTGTCAAACAGATGCAAAACAGTCCATAATAAAACAGTCCTGCTTCATGCAGAATCGTTAGAAATCATGAGATGGGGCAAGTGGAGACTTGCCAGAGTTTTCAAAGTAATTAGCTGCTTTGGGAGGAAGACCAAGAATTTGGCAAACCTAAACATCTACAGACCTAACTGTAAACATGCCAATCTATACCCTGCCTCTGGTCGTTTGCATTCATTAAGTGAACTATTTTTCTTCCATTGGGTTCCTCAAGACTGCAAAGGGAGAAAGGGAGACTGCCTGGACCAAACTGCACAAGAAGAACAGAAACTTAATTCTGAACTTTAAGAAAATAAAACCATTTAGGCTGAGCGCCCTTACTGGACTCAGAAACAATCTCACAGACAAGTGAATGAAAATCTCACATTTTCTAAACTCTGAAAGTGCTTTTCTCAATTTTATCCTTTAAAATATCTTTCAATTCAGTGATTTTCTGAACTCAACAAATGCCAATTGAATGTCTTCTGTGCAAGCCTCTCTGAAGCAGCTTTCTGGCTTCACCTTCTCAGGTGTCTCTGCCTCCAGAGCATGGGTGCTGAGGCCCTGCGTCCATCCTTCCTCTGCACCTTGGCTGATGGGCGCAGATGCTGCACCCAGGACTCCGTGGAACATTTTAGAGAACACCTACAGAGTACCTTCCTCCAACTGGATCAGAGATTCTCAAACTTCAGGGAGCAGAACTCACCTGGGTGCTTGTTAAAATGCAGATTCCTGGGTTCCATCCCAGAGATGAGCAGTTTTTCTGGAGTGGAGCCTGGGAATCTGTATTATAACCAGTGAGACTGTGACTGTGGTTCTGAGGCTGGAGCTCCCCAGCTTTGCAGTTTTAAAGTGACAGACAGGACCAGGAAGATACTCTGTGAGCCCCCAGACCCCTTCCCATGAGTCTTTGGGAAAGATAGCTCTCCTCTGGGGCTTTCATCAAAATGGCACCATCAAGATCTCCTTGTGGTCCACCGAAAGTAGAGTCACAGGTGACAACCTGGCCCCACAGCTGTTCTGCCAAGTCATCCATGTGGTGATGGTGCTGCCCAGGAGGACAGGGTCAGCCCCTTCCCTTTCCCCTCTCCCCGTCTTGGAGGACTCTCCTGCTGGTCCCTCCTTTCAGGAAAGAGGCCAGCCGCCCCAGCCCAGGTCTAAGCTGGGCTCCTGCTCCCGGGTCCAGCTTCTCCAGACCCCTGCAACCCTCACGGAGAAGGCCAGCGTTGCACAGCGAGTCGTCTCCATGGCAACCGACAGGATGTCACGGACCCTGGACTTAACGGCAAGGGGATTCCAGAGAAGAGCCTGCGGGCGGCGCCCCCAACCCCGGACTCACACCCAAACTGCGGGCGAGCCCCTCTTCCTTCCCGCCGCGGTCCCCGCTCCGGCTCACATGCCGCGCGGGGGAGCAGAGGGAGGACGGGCTTTTCACGTGGCGCCCGGGCCTCACCCGGGGCGACGATGGCGGGCTCGGAAGCCGGACCACTTGAGCCCCGGCGACTGAGGAACCCCGCGCGGGGCGGGAGCCGGCCGGCCGGGAGCGGGAGGCGGGGCCGAGGGTGGGGCGTGGGCGGTCCCCGAAGTCCCACCTTCGGGGGCGGCGCCTGGCGCCGGGGAGTGTCAGGAAGAGGAAGAGCGCGGCCGGCGGCGGTGCGCGGCGCGCGGCGAGCAGCGGCCGGGCGGAGGCGAGCGCCGCGCGGGCCACCATGGCCACGGACGAGCTGGCCACCAAGCTGAGCCGGCGGCTGCAGATGGAGGGCGAGGGCGGCGACGAGGCCGCGGAGCAGCCCGGCCTGAACGGGGCGGCGGCGGGGGCGCCCGACGAGGCGGCCGAGGCGCTGGGCAGCGCGGACGGCGAGCTGAGCGCCAAGCTGCTGCGGCGCGCGGACCTCAACCAGGGCATCGGCGAGCCCCAGTCGCCCAGCCGCCGCGTCTTCAACCCCTACACCGAGTTCAAGGAGTTCTCCAGGAAGCAGATCAAGGACATGGAGAGGATGTTCAAGCAGTGAGTGCCCCGGCCCCCCGCCACCCGGCCTCGGCCCGAGCCCCGACCCCATCCCGCGCCGCCAGCCCAGCGCCCCCGGCACACCCGGCTGGGGCACTCCAGCCCTTCCAGATCATTACGAGGCTCCCAGACCCGCCACCCACCACGCAAATGGGTCCGGGGGCCGCCGGGGCCCCTGGCACGTGACCCCTCCTCGTAGTGATGCCTCCTCGGGTGCACCACAGGCGCGCGCACGGGGCTGGGAGCCCCAGGGCTCCCCAGATAATCACGATCCCCCCTCCCGCGGCCGCCGCCACCACACAGGGTCCCGGGACCCACGGGACCCTGCGCCCTGTTATTGACTCTTCCCCCACCACCCACACCTATACACACGGAGAAGGAGGGCCTGGCGACCTCCCTTCTCCCCCCACATCCCAGCCACTCTCTTCCCCACCCCCACCCCTTACCGGCTGGTCAGAGATAAGTACCCGGTGCCTCTCCAGGGAGGCCAGTCCTGCACGGTGCCAGACACATCCCTTTTGTTGGGGTCCTGTCTTTTCCTCTGTTTATTCAGATCTGCCTCAACATGGGTTCTGGAAGGGACGCCCCCACCCCTCGAGTTATTCAGCATCTTTCTAGAAAACTGTGGGCAAAGACTCCTCAGCCCTTCTACCCCTACCCCATTCCCCGTGTGTTAGCCAAGTGCCAAATCTTTGGCCCTCAAGTGGTCTTCCTGGGAAGGGGCCCCTCAGTCCCTGTCCCCAACTCTGTGGGCGTGCAAACTGCCCCCAAGCAGCCCCCTGGAGGCAAAGTCCTCTTTCTACACACCCAGATCCACCCTGCTCATGGCCTCCTGGCCCTCTGCACCCAGCACTGCTGTCACCAGGCCCCCCACCACCCAGCCTTCCCTCCCCCATGGGATCCCCAATGCCCCACACCCACTCCATTCAGCTAGGGGCTGTCCTCTCTGATGTACCCCTGCCCTTTATTCCATGATCCCACGCTGCACTGCACCAGGTTGGCCGGGCACTCCCAGGCCCTTGGCCTCAGCCTTTCACCCCCCACAGAGCAAAACTTAACACTGCTGGGGAGGAACTAGAGAGGAAGGTGCCAGTTCCTCCTCAGGCCTGTCCCTGGGTCCACCCTGTTGGGATTGAGATGGGCAGCCCCTCTCCCCAGCCATATTTGTGCCCATGGAGTCCCCCTGCCTTTGTTAGCCTTCCCCACCTTCTGTTGCCTGTCCCCGGGCCCTGGCTCCTGGACAGGGAACAGCCCACAGGTACTGGACTGGAGTCGTTTCCAGAAGAGGGTGGCACCACCAGGAGGCCGAGTCTTGGGCAGAAAGGACAAGAGGTCTAGCCACCCAGCACAGGCAGGCCAAGATCGAGGGAGAGGTGTGACAAGGCTGGCGCCAACTGGCCTGAACAGGCAGAGGGGTGACAGCCACAGCCACAGCAGCTCACAGCCCAGAAACCAAGCAGGAAGCCCAGGGAGGGCCGTGTCATGGGGCCACAGCTTGAGAAAGGCGTCTCCCACTTCTCTGCTCCATCTGCAGCTTCTGCATTTGGCCCCAAACAGGGGAAGAGGGTTTTGGTTCCCAGACTCAGGTGGTGGCTAGAAGCCCCATACTCTCCCGGAGATCAAGTCCTTGACCCCACCCCAAACCTCTGCCTGGAAGTCCGGGTTGCTAGGAGCCCCCCCTCTGATTCAGGCCCTGGCTGGCGTTCTAAGGTTTCCTCCCAGCCGGGGCCAGGCTGGCCAGGTCAGGACAGGGTTTCCCGCATTTCAGAGCAGCCGGAGAACTGCTTGGGCCACAGGGTGCTGTGTGACTTCCTTGTGGAATTTGCCCTGGGGAAGTCCAGAGGCTCCTCGGTGACCTGACTCAGAGATCCCTGCATTGATAGTGGTACTGAGGCAGGGATGAGTTCCTGGGACCTTCCAGCAGCCCGTGACATGAGATGGCTTCATCACCCTTGCGCGGGTGGGGAGTCTCCTTATTTATCAGATAAGTTAAATAACTTGCCGAGACACATAGGTAGAAAAATGGGTCAGGGCAAGATTTGAACCCAGGTCTGTGACCCCCAAACCCCCGTTCTTCCCGACTGAGTTTCCTGTTAGACTCACCTGCGGCCACATCAGAAAACCACCCCAGCACCCACTTCCATGTGCACAGCTGATTTCCCTCTTGGTGTACCCACGGCCAGCCCCCGTTTCCCCTTTCCTCCAGAGGCCTCCTTCTCTTGGGCTTCCACAGCATCCCTGTCCCCCCAAAAGATGGAGCTGTTTGGGGAGAACCCGGACCCCCACAGTGAGCAGGGCCTGGAAGGCAGCAGTCTGATCAGAAGGGGCGCAGCAGGGAAGTCCTGGAGTATTTGCAGATACACAGGATGTTTGGGGACAAGTTTGATGAGGGGTGCCCTGATGGAGAGTAGGGGAACTGAACCTTCCAGTCCTTTCCTGGCACCAGTCCCCTCTGCTAGGAGGGCTGAGGGGGGCCAGGAAGCTGGACCTCTAGGGAAGGAAGTGGCACCCGCCAGGGGCCCTGGCTTGGTGGAAAGTGGCAGATTTTGTATTCAAGGAAACAAGGCTTCACTGTGCCAGCCCAGCCCAGCCCAGCCCAGCCGAGGCCCGGCTGTGAACAGCCGACAGACAGGCTCTCCTGGAGGACAAAACCCCTGTTCTGCTTCCACTGTCCAAGTGGGACAGCCGCCTCCCGGGTCCCAGCAGGGCCCAGGGATCACAGCCAGGACATCAAATCCAGGGCTGGGCTAAGAGGAGAGGGGAGGGGGGAGGGAGCCTGCCCTCCTGGGACGCTGCCACCAGCCCAGTGTAGGAGATGGGCTGGCAGATAGGCCCCTGGGGGCTGGCCTTTCTCTGGTGGCCACGAGCTAGGGAGCCTAGCCCACTTGCCCTCCCTGGGCCTCAGTCTACCTATCTTTCAAAGAGCAGGCCATATCTGATGATTCCCGAGGACCTTCGGCTCTCACCTTATTTCTGAGGGGGTCCTGAGAGTGTCTGGATGTCAGCATTGACTTCCAGAGACGTCTGGCTCATCCATTCAGCATGGATTCAGCAGATACATCCTGAGAACGGTGGTAGAGGAGACTGGAAAGGCCAGGGGGAAGTTAGACAGGTTCTCGCCATTACTGATCCCCACCCAGGGCCACGTAGGTGCCTCCTGGGAGAGACCTGAGGGTTGACCCCCACCCTGTCCTCATTTTACAGAAGAGGAAACTGCGACCCAGCAAGGAGTTGTGACTTGCTCATGGTCACCCAGAGGTTTTCAGTGGCTGAGCCAGAACATCCTTGTCTGAACAGTGGGAAGAGTGGGTCCTGCTTCTCAGGCTGCGTCCTGCTGTGGTGCCAGGTGCAGAGCCACTCCATCCTGGCCTCTCCTATGGCCCAGGGCTGCATCCCTAGCCTCGAGCCCCCTACCTTCTTCTTTCCCCTCTCTACCCATCCATCCAGGGCTGTTTCTAGAACGTTCCAGTGGGGAGGGGATATAGGATAGCCCAGAGACCCTCAGGGATGCCCACCTCTGGGCTAGCCACAGCCTCAGTGGGGCTCTGGAGGGTTCTGTAAGCTGAGACCTGCCAGCAAGGTCGGCAGCCCTGTAATCCTGAACCTACTGTGGAATCTGAGGACGATGCCCTGGTTCCTTGTCTCGCCCAGCCCCGCAGCCCTATCCCCAGCTTCCTCATCTCATGACCCCTTACGTCAGAGAGACAGGTTTCCCTTTCCTTCTGGCCAGCTCTTACTGTCACAAGTTCCCGAGGCCACCTGCCCTCCCCTGCAGCGGTCAGGAGCAGGACCTTTGGAATCTGTAGCCCTGGGTTGGAATCCCAGGTGTGGGCCCTGGAGCAGCGTTGAACTAGGACCCACACTGGGCTTCAAAGGGCTCACCCAGCACTTGGCCCAGGGTGAGTACTTCCTGGGCTGCTGTCGCCGTCACCCGCAAGGCAACATCCCTCACCCCAGTCCTGAGCAGGGCCCAGGTGGTGGTCATACCCACCCATCCTGGCTGCCTCCACTTACCCTCAAAGGAGCTGCCAGGCTGGCAACCATCTTTTGCTTGGGGCCTGAGTGACAGGGACCTGGTGTAAGAGTCCACCTTTCTTCCTGCTGAACAGACACTCAGATTCACAGCTTCGTATGGCTTTGATAAATAAGAAAAAATGGAGGAATGAATTCATTATCAATTCCGTGGAAGGCAGGTGGTAGAAGAGCTCATAGCAGCGCTGGCCAGACACAGGGCTGAGACTCCAGTGCCCACTGCTCCCACCCAGCTGTGTCTCCCTAAGCAGGGCGCTCAGTTTTGCTGGGTGGCCCTGAGGCTATAGGAACTACTGTTAAAGTAAGGATCCAGTGTGAAAAAGCCCCGTCCTTGTAAGGAGTGCGTGGCGGCACCCGGTCTGCAGGCTGTTGATATGATGGGGATGCTTTGGGGAGACACAAGGTCTCCCCATGATCGTGACCCACAGGTAATAGTGGAGTCTCTTCTGTGTGCAAGTTCTAGAGAATCAAGTGAGGAATCAGCTCCTACCTTCAAGAGGCATCTTACAGAGAACCCTGATGTGCAGGGGTCCTTGGGGTAGAGCTGGGCCCGCAGGGCTGGAAATGGAAGGTTCTTGAATTTCCACCACGAGGTCTGAATGCTGCCCTGCGTGCTCCCCGCATCCAGCCCCCACCTCCCGCCTCTGTGTTGAGTGAGCCGCCAGGTACACCTGCTCCCAGAGGAGTTGATCTGTATGTCCTGTGTGACACATGAGGAGATGGAGGCTCAAGGAGGTTGAGTCACTTGCTCAGGGTTGTACCCAGTGGTGGTGGCAGGATTAGAACCAGGTGTCCCTGCAGAGAGCCCTTTGTCTGTGATGGAGGTGGGGGGGGTACCTCTGCAGGTGGAGAGTTGGGTCTTCCCTGCAGCAGCCAAGAGCCCGACCTTCCGGCTGACCTTGATGTACACCTTCCTGCCTGCCTTGTCCCCTCTGCCTCTTCTGAACTCTCCTGTTTGCCATCTGGGTCACAGCAGGCTCAGGGACCCAGGTCTTCCCGCCACTGGAGCAGAGTCACTCCACAGCCTCAGGAGGGACAGCCCCCACCCTCCAGCAGTTCAGTGCCCCTGGCCGCAGGGCAGCCTCCCCCTGGCCGACTTCTGCTTTTCAAGGAGAGCAGAGCAGGGCTCAGGCCAGGAAGGTGTGGCTCCCACGTGGAGGCGTCCTGAGCCTGAGGACCCTTCCCAGCACCTGCTGCTCACCCCACCCAGAGGCCACCTGGACCTGCTCCACTCCAGGCCCCTGGCCTCCTGCTGAATCCCACAAATTACAAGACCTCCATCACCCATTTCACAGCTAAGGACACTGGTCTCAGAGAGTTCTGTGACTTGCCCAGTCACACAGCTGGAAAGAGGCTGAGACAGGATTTGAACCCAGGACTGGCTAACTCCAGGCCCCTGACCCCTTACTCACTTGGTCCATGGACCCACAGCAGCAGCAGCAGCGGGGAGCTGGTGAAACCTGCCAGACCAGAGTCTGCATTTTAACACAACTTCCAGGTGTGCACCCAGGCACAGCCTGTCCTCCACCTGCCTCAGGCAGACCTGAGGGTGAACCTACAAGATGACTTATCTGACTGCTCAGGATGGCAAGATGATGGAGTAAGCTAGATACTAAAGACCAGGTGTATTAGGCATTCAGTAAGTGCTCTTTTAATCACTACCATGACATTTTTGGGGTCTTTTTGCAGCGCTGGGGATGGAACCAGCAAGCACTCTGGCCTCCCACTGCATCCCCAGCCCAACAGCGGTTATTATTAAGAACAGGCAGGAAACAAACTCCAGATGCTACAAGAGCAGGCAATGCTCCTTCACAGTTGTGACTGGTTGTAAGGGTGTTGTTGAACTTGAGGTTAAGGTGTCCCTGAACCCTGCTGGGTGTGATGCACACGCCTGTAAGTCCCAGCGACTCAGGAGGCTGAAGTAGGAGGATCATATGTTAGAGGCCAGCCTCAGCAACTTAGTGAGACCTGGTCTCAAAATAAAAAATCAGAAGGGCTGGGGATGTGGCTCAGTGGTAAAGTACTGCTGGGTTCAGTCCCCAGTACTAAAAAAAAAAAAAAAAATTTAAGTTCCTGTACCTGTCCCTTGACAGCCTCTACCAATTGCTGTCACCCTGGAGGCTCTCACTTGATCCTCAGACTCACCAAAAAAAAAAAAAAAAAACAGGGTGGAGCCATGAGCACCACAGTGGTTCATTCATGATTTCTCTCTCTCTCTCTCTCTCTCTTTCCCACCCCCTTCTCTCTTTATCCCTATCCCCTCTTGGCTGATGTAGGGTAATGGTTCAAGGTCAGATTCTGCAGATAGGACTAGAGGAAGTGGCCCCGGTGGCCTTTCCCCCACTTGCACCAGACAGTGGGGCAGTGTGCAGAACTAGTCATTACCAGCACTAGGCGGACCCCTGCCTGTCCCTGCGCTTGGGCTGGGTCCAGCTGGCCACAACAGCCAGCAAGGTCAGACTTTTCTGTCCTCTAGAACTTTGTTGCCCCAAGGAACCTGCCTTCCCACTTCTCAGGTCAGAGCATAGAGGCCCAGGCCTCCCTATGAGGAGCAGGAGGATATTACTACTATGAAATTAGTAGGTCTGAAGCCCCTGCCAGGTGCTATTTTATTTACTACTTAATAATCCTAGTGGTGGATTTTAACAAGAGTAATAACTGAATGCTGCGACCAAAGCCAGGTAGTCCTGGGGGCACCTGAGACTCTGTCTTCCTGGGGCTCTGCAGGCCCAAAGGGACAGAGGCCTGGCAGGGGTTCAGGAGGGACAGAATGGGGTCCCCTGTGCTCCCACACCACGGTTCCCACCCGAGCAGAGCAGTGGGCTTCCCATCCTCAGAGGTGCTCAAGGCGCACTAAATGACATGCCCTCCGGTGCCCCTTCCAACCTGAGCTCGGATGCAGGGTGCAGAGGTGGCGTGTTTCCGGTCAGGCAGGCTGGGATCTCGGCTGCACCCTGGCCGGGGCCAGTTGGTTTGCATCTCTGAGCCTCCGTCTCCCCACCTGCTAAACAGGGGTGTGTGCACGGGCTCCGTGGAGGTCTCTTAAGGAAACCCCAGCGCGCAGTGCCAGCTTGGAGAAGGCGCTCAGCACAGAGCAGCTAGGACAGATAATATTGTTCTGACGGGACGGGCCTGGGTGTGCCCTGGCACTGATATCACGCCACTGGAGCCAGCCACAGAGGACTCTTGGGGATCCAAACTGGGGTGGGGGGAGGGAAGCAGCCGACAGGGTGTGACCATGCTCAGCCCAAAGGCAGGGTCTGCCTGGGTGGTGGCCATGTCACTTTCAGGGGGGATGGGAGGGGATTTTGTCACCAGCATCCGGGACAGCAGCTGCCGAGCCCTCCCTGGTGAGAGCTATTCAGGGGGAGGCGGGCAGGAATGTGGGCACAGGGCCAGGCTCCCTCTGGTACTGCAGAAAAGTGCTGCGCTCCAGCCGGGCGGCACTGTCAGTCCCACCCGATAGCATTGGCCTTGGCACCCTGCAAGCTGGGAGTGTGGGACCCTGTGAGGGGCGGTGCAGAGGCAGGGAGAAGGAACACAGAAGGTTCCCCATGCAACAGCCACCGTTATGGTGGAATCAGCAAGTTTTATGCACCTACTGTGTGCTAGCCATTTTATATCCCTAGTTGTGTTACTTTTTAAGAATCCTAAGGGTAGATGGTAACAATGACAACGATTGGTCATTATAGTTACTGTGTAATAAGAAGGGTTTGTTACAGGCGGGAAGCCTCTTCTAATCCTCATTCTAGGAAAAAGAGTGCTTTGACCCAGATGGGAAAATTGAAGCTCATGGGGTTAGGTGACTTACCCAGGGTCACCCAGCCAACAGGTGGCAGAACTGGGGTTTGAATCCAGGTCAGTCTCAGTTAACCCTGAAGACCTGGCAACTCCCCAGCCTCAGAGCGCATCAGGGCCAAGAGCACACAGCGTATGTCGTTCACAGGAGTCTTACAGCACCTCCTCCCGGGGCCCCACACCTGGCCTCCCCCAGCCTTCTGTCACCTCACCTTGGCGATTGAAGCGTTGTTGGCACTTCTGCCACTCCTGCATGGTCCCCTTGGGGGTCAGAGGCTGCCTGGGATGGAGCCCAGCCCTGGTAATTGATTGACTCTTGATTGATACAGGCAGCGGTTCACGGTGTGGTTTGAGCCACAGCCCAGCCAAGTCTGGGAGCAGCCAGAGACAGAGGAATCCAGAATCCAAGTCTCCTTCCAAGTTTGGACACTTTATCTGCACTTCCTCTGAGAAGTGCAGCTGGGGCTCAGAGAGAGAAGGGCCTGGGACCCCCAGGGCTGGGGCTGAGTCCCCGGCCTGCTGGTGCCCTCCTGCCTAATCCTGACCCCCAGGGGAGCTGAGCACAGAGGCTAAAGGGGAGGTGACTGACGCACAGTGGGGGCTTAGTGGCTAAATCCCCCTGGAGGGTGGGAGCCTGGCCTCTGTGGGTGCAGTCAGTCCTCGGTGGGCCCCTGAGAGCCACCGATCTGTCAGGGGTCCTCACTTCAACACTGCTGACATGAGGCCAGATCATTTCTTACGCCCTGGGCACTGTGAGGTGTTTCATCCTGGCCTTGACCCACCAGATGCCAGTAGCACCCCCTCCCCAGTCGAGACAACCCAAAACATCTCCGGATATTGTCACATGTCCCCTGGGGGACACACACCCCTGAAGAACTATAGTATGCAAATATTGAGCCCAGGCCATCTGGCTGCAGAGCCTGGACATTTGTCCCCAACCTCCATTTGGAGCCCAAGGTCAGAAAGCAGGGGTTGTGATCCTGGTGGCCACTGAGGAGGGGTCCGAGTGACTTGCCTCAGGAGAGACCAGGTGCCACACCAGGCCCCTCTGTGAGGGCTGCCTCGGGGGTCCTGAAGCAGCCCTGGCGCTCTGCCACCTGCAGGCAGACTGGAGAGCCGGAAGGAGGGGCCCCAGTCGCCCGGCAAGGCCTTTCCTGCTTGAGATGGAGGTTGGGCCATGGGAGCTGCCTGACCCTCACCACCAAACCGCACCTGCTTCCGCCCAAGCCGCAGCCCACAGGCTCTCTGGCCCGACTCCCCCAGTGGGAACAAGGCCTCAGGACTCTGCATTCCTTTCAGGGTTCCATCTTTCCTGTATGCATTACTTCCAACCACTGACTCACTTGTGAACTATTTATACCCCTCCCACAAATGCTCCCCTCCGCTCTCCAGGCAGACCGGCTGTGCTCTGCAGGCAGCCCTGGGACATGTGGGAGCGGCCGTGCACAAATGTGCGGGTTTGAGCCTGACAGTCCAGCTCCACCTTCACTACTGTGTGGCCTTGGGTGGGTTACTTAACCTCTCTGAAACTCCATTATAAAATTAGATGATTGCCAAAATTAAGTAAAATGAATAGGTTAAGTTCTGGTGCAAAGGCAGATTCCAGTTAGTGGCTGCTATTAGATATCTAAAGTCATGCAAAGTTAACAAGAGAAAGACAAAGGGAGGTGGGAGCCCAGAGCAGCCTCAGAGTGAAATATGTTCATGCAGGACCTCCAGGTACTTGGGCCCTCTGTGTCACACGGCTGTTACCAACACTGTTCTCAGCCAGCCAACTGCAGGCCTTGGGGACGATATGAAGAGATTGTGTTAGGTTTAGAAAAACTCACCCCCCACCCCCGACCGCTCTCCCCAGCTGTCCCAGGGCACAGGCAGGGCCTGGCTGGACCTTGCAATAAGCCCCCATCCCCTGGGCTGTGTGCTCCAGGCACCAGCAGCACCTCCCCAGCTAGGGACAGGCCTGGAGGCCACTCTGACTCCCACTCGTACCACAGGAGACTGGTCGAGATGGACATTTAGACCCAGCCTGCGGCCTGACCCTGGCACTGCCAGGCGGTTGTTGGTAGAAAGAGGCGTGGGCAGAGGCCTGGCTGTCACCAGCGCTGCCACCCCTGCAGGCTCGTGGCCAGCTCTTCCCTGAACACACCCCAGGCCTGCACTCTGCCCGAGAAGTTGGTCCTCCTGAGACCTGCGGTCCTGCCCCATCCTAGACACTGCCCTAGACAAGAGCAGAGACACTCTGACATTCCTTGTTCGTTCTTGCATCACTCGCAGCAGGTGGCAGGCTAGGGAGCAGGAAGTAGAATGCCCAGTACAGAAAACACTGTGTGGGAAAAGCCACTCATTCCATGGAGAGAGGGATGGAGGGCTGGGGTGTGGCTCAGGGGGACCTAGAAGGTGCCAGGCCCTGGCTTGATCCCCGCAAAAGAAAGAGGAGGAGAGACTCCGTTGACATGCCACTTCCTCTACCTGTACTTCTCAACTGGGAATGGTTTTGCCCCCTAGGGACACTTGGCAGTGTCTAGGGGACATGTTTGGTGGGAAGTAAACAAAATGTCCTTCCCAATACGCTGGAAGTCTGAGGTGGAGACTCCCTGCCTCCCCCACAAGGCTCCACCACCGGAAGTGGACCCTGGGGAGAGGGGAGTTCCCAAGCAGGTGTCCTGAGGCCAGCAGGTGCTGGCCATGGGCGGAGCTCGTCTCAGTTGGCCCACACCCTGTGGTGTGAGGTCTTTCTCACTTGTTCACGTCACACTCAGCATAGGGACTGTGGTCTTGTGGTCACAGCTTCCTCCCAACCAGGCTTGACAAACAGCAATGTCTGCCGGGCGTGATGGCGCTTGCCTGTAATCAGAGGCTCAAGAGGCTGAAGCCGAAGGATCACAAGTTCAAAGCCCCTCAGCAATGGCGAGGCCCTGTCTCAAAAATAAAAAGGGCTGGGGATGTGGTCAGTGGCTAAGCCTGGTTCAATCCCTGGTTCCAAAAAAAAAAAAAAAAGCATTGTTCAACATGCAGGAGGCTGGGGGGCTCCCAGGCTGTGTGGGGAGTTGCCCAAGGCCGCAGGTCACCAAGCTGAGCCACACATCAGGACCTGTCTGGCTGAGGTCCCTTCCAGCCGTGACAGGATGACATGATGGTGCTAGGTGTCCTCTGGGCCCCAACTCTCAGACTTGCCGCCTCTCACCAGTGAAGTCTGAGGTGCGCCAAGATGTCCTCAGGCCCCTCTCTCTCTGCCCACAGGTACGATGCCGGACGGGACGGCTTCATCGACCTGATGGAACTGAAGCTCATGATGGAGAAACTTGGGGCCCCCCAGACCCACTTGGGCCTGAAGAACATGATCAAGGAGGTGGACGAGGACTTGGACAGCAAACTCAGCTTCCGGGAGGTGAGCACTGCCCAGCCCACCTCCGTCAAGGCTGTCCCTGAGATCTTGGTGGCCAGGGTGACACTGACCCTCCCCCACCCCTTGTTGATGACTGACACTTGACCACGTGAGGCTTCAAGGGCATCCCACAGCAGGCACCAGGGGGGTTCTGAGATGCCCTAGACGAGGACAGTCGTCCAGCCCTTCGTGTATGGAACATACATTGAGTGGCTTCTGTATCCCCAAACCTGACCAGGCCCTGAGGGTACAGAGAAAGTCCCTGTCCTCAGAGTCTCCTGCAATATGGAGGAGGAGATGCCAAGAGGACACTAGCTCAGTGCTGGGTAGCTAGACATTGAGGGTCGCCTCCCTCACACTGAGATAGGCGCCGAGGGCAAGCCTGGTTGGTGGCGGAGGAAACAGAGGCTCAGAGCCACCTAGGAATGGCGCTAGACCCAGGCAGCACAGGGTTAGATGCAGGGCGGGTGGCCTCTGCAGGAGTCCTGGGCCCTCAAGAGCTGGCAGGAAGCCTAACCAGTGTTGTGCCCTTGTCCAAAAAAAACTTAAGCGGTGCAACAGACCACTTGTGACTTTGCACTAATTTACTGTGCTCACCGAATTGAAAACTTTGGACTTGGTAGGTTAAAGAAGGCAGGGGAGAGAAAGGTAGCAAGGGCCTGGGTGAGGATGAGCGGCCCCAGGGGGTAGGGGTGGGGAGAGGGCAGCCCAGAGGACACAAGTTCAAATCCTTGTGGCACTTGCTGGCACTGGGACATCAAACACGTCATTCCTGTCTCTGAGCCTTCTGTGCCTTTACAGCTGAGTAGAGAACGTATCTGCTGGGGGAAGGGTGGAGACGGATGCTGGGTTGCAGGAACTAGATGTGGACGGAGAAGGGCCACAGTAACTCCGACCCGGAGAGCAGGCCGAGTCGCCTACCCTCCCATCCTGCACCTGGGTGACAGAGGGCCGCAGAGGGAAGGGCAGGGGACACAGAAGATGCGAACCCAGCTCTCTGGCTCCCAGGCCTATGAGCCAGGCTCACGGGGTGCCTGAGGCTGGGGCCCGGGTATGGTCAGAGACCTTGTCCCCTCCGGTCCCCACCTGACCCTTGGTGCCTGTCCCGCTGCAGTTCCTCCTGATCTTCCGCAAGGCAGCGGCCGGGGAGCTGCAGGAAAGCGGGCTGCACGTGCTGGCCCGCCTCTCCGAGATCGACGTCTCCACCGAGGGCGTCAAGGGGGCCAAGAGCTTCTTCGAGGCCAAGGTGAGGAGGCTGGGACTGTGCTGAGGCTGGGCGGTGTGCCCTGAGCCCAGCTTAGCTTGGGGGTCAGCACAGCCCCTCCTGTCCCTACTGAGGCTGCAGAGCAGGCACGGGGCTTGGCTGGGCCCAAGGAGCCCTTAAAGGGGAAGGGCCGGGGGACAGCAGAGTAGGCCAGAAACATAGCAGGGACTCCCCAGAGATGCCAGCCTGCCAACCCCAGCCTGGAGGAACCAGGAGGGGCCCCCAAGGCCACCAGCGTGCACAGCCACTCCCCTTTCAGCACATGCCCAGCTGGAGGAGACACATCTGGTCTCGTGGCTCCTGAGCCTGGACATATACCCCCTGGGCCACCAGGGCACCTGTCTCCCTGATTTCTTCCTCTTCCTGGGTGAAGCTGAGACTCTTCCTTTCAAAGATCTCCTCCCCCTCCCCCTGGACTCCCAAGCCTTGATGGAACATAGGGGGGTTCACCCATGGAACTGGGGTGCCGTGGGTTTTCCCGGACAGGAAATCAAGGATGACCTCAGCAACTCCCACCCGAGGAACCCTGAGTGTGCATCAGCCACTGAACAGGCGTCCAGCCCCCAGGGAGCAGGGAGATGCGCTTTATTGAGCCAGTTCTAGGTGGAGAAGGCAGCTCAGAGAGGTGCATGCGACCCCGGGGCCAGAGCGGGTGCAGCTGGGGCCGCGGGTCCGCTGGGGTGCAGCAGAAGCATGAGCCCAGAGGGACCCCAGCAGGCAGCCCGTGGTGGCGGTGGGGAAGCCCCCCAAGCCCTGACGCTGCCTCCCCGCCCCAGGTGCAGGCCATCAACGTGTCCAGCCGCTTTGAGGAGGAGATCAAGGCGGAGCAGGAGGAGAGGAAGAAACAGGCGGAGGAGATGAAGCAGCGGAAAGCAGCCTTCAAGGAGCTGCAGTCCACCTTCAAGTAGCAGGACACGGCCACCACCCCCCCTGGCCGGGCAGCCAGAAGGCAGGCGGTGGGCCAGGGGGACAGCCAGTCCTGGGCTCTGTCCCGTGGGACCACTCCTAAGAATCTAAATTGTGAAGGAGCTAGTTGAGGGGGTCTCCTGAGTGCCCTGGCCACTGCCTGCTCCCTCCCACCGTCCCTGAGGCTGCCACACCACAGCTGCCCCTGCCTCTGCCTGGCCCAGCCCTCCGCGGCTCTCACCCCAGCTGCCCCTGTGCCTGCTCTCCTCACACTCACCCCTCTCCCTGCCACCTGCCCCCGGGCCGGGACAGCCCCTCCCTAGACTGGAGCAGGAGGGACCCTCGAGCAGACCAGAGCCTATGAGAGGGCCCTCCCCCAGGACTTCTCCTCTGGCTCCACCCCCTCTGCTGGAATGGGAGGACTTCTATTTTGGTGAAGGGACCCAGGCCCTGGCGCCCCGTGCAGACATGGAGATGGGACCCCTCCAGGCAGGGTGAGGGGGCCGCTGTGTGCCAATCTACCTCACGGTCCCACACTCTGCCGGGCATGCCATGGGGTCACGGCGGGAGGGCCTTTGGGGACAGAAACAGGTGCTCCCCGCACCCGGCCCCAGAACAACCTGAGGGCCCAGGGGACCATGCAGAGAGGAGGGCGGGGAGGAAGGACTGACGCCTGTTTAGAAAGAACCAGCCCTCGGCTCATTCCCCAGGAGGTGACAGAAGTGCTTCGTGTGTGCAGCACCTGCAGTGGGGAGCCGGACCGCCCCTGGCACGCTATCCCGCCTTGTCACCAGCCCCGGCTAGGAAGCATGGGGACCCTGTGCCCGCCACCAGCCGCGCCCGGCCCGTCCCGCCGCGGCCCCCAGTGCGCTTGCTCACGTGTGTGTCCGTGTGTGTCCGTTGCTGTGTCGTGAAACTGTGACCGTCACCCAGTCCAAACAAGTGAAGGGCCACCGAGGCCACAGTTATGCAACTTTCAGTGTGTCGTGACAGCGTCACTGCTTTTTAAACTCGGTAACTCTTTATTTTAGTACCATGTCGCAGGAGTCGGCGGAGCTCCAGCGAGACTTGCAGAGGTTTTATTTTTTTGGCCTTAGGATCTGCAGAAATTAGGAGGTTCCGGGTCCGAGCAGCGCCGGGCCCTGGGTTGCGTTTGCCTTAGCGGATATGTTTATACAGATGAATATAATTTCTTTTCCTTTGGGCTTTTTGCTTTTTATTTTTCTCCCTTCTCAACACCCCCCTCCCCCCCCCAAAAAAAAAGGCTACTTCTTCATTTGGTGGTACGATTATTTTTTTTAACTAAAATTAAGATAAAATTCTATATTCTTAGGTGTGAGTGTGGTTCTTGATGGTTGGTGGGGGGCTGGGAAGGGAGGGGACAGGAGTGAAGTGACCTGTGATAAAGGGTCATGTCAGAGGTCTGGGGAAGAGAGGACCCTCACTGGTCTTCAAGGACAGCAGGACACCCCCGGGCACGCTCAGCACCGTCTGAATTGATTCATCTAATTCTCAAACCGGCCGTGAGGGAAGGTGCCATTTCTCTTCCTCCTTTGCGGATGAGGACAGGGAGGCCAGCAGGACCCAGACAAGCTGCAAGGTCACAGCCTCTGCCTTCACCCCAGGGCCACCTGTCGAGATGGTAGAGCTCCGTGGCCAGGAGGGGCACTAAAGCTACTGGGATTCTGGGTTGATGTGCCCCAGCCACACAGATGGCTCAAAAGTCTTGAGTACACTGGACAACGCCCGGGAATATGGGGTGACAGCAGGGGGGATCTGACAGATCGGGTGCCTGCGGGGTCCCTGTCTCCCCATCTGTGCAATGAAAGGGTAGACTAGGTTCTCAGGATCTTTTCAGCCCTGGGGTTCCAGAGGGGTGCTCCCTTTCAGCACAACCTGGGGCCAGGGCAGGAGAGGCACCGCTGCCCCCGGGTGGCCATGAGTGGTACTGCAGCAGCCGGGTTGCTCGTTGCTTCCTTGACTGAAGGCAGCGCCCAGGAGGTGCATTTCCGGGGTTCACCACCCCCACCCAATGCTTGGAGATGCCACCGTCCTCCATGAAAGATTTTAGAGCAGGTGTCGCCTTTCAATCCTTCCTGCCCAAGGGAAGCACACCGGAACACCTAGCATCCTGGTAGGAAGGATCTCGGGAATGTGGAGTGGAGGGTCTGAGGAGGCAGCCCAGCTGCTCGGTGACACACACTGGCCTCCAGCCCTCGGAATCTGAGATGGCAGTCAGCTGTGCCTGCCAGAGCCCTCCACAAAAGGCAACTGGGGCCCAGCCTCAGGCTGCACAAGACCCCCCCTGCCTGCTCTGGCAGAGGAGCCACCTCTGAATTCTCATTAAGCCCCCTGCTACTGAGTCCCAGCCCCATCTCCAGACACAACCCCTCATGGGGCCAGCTGCCCACCAGGCCCAGCCTCATCACCAAACTCTGAGTTCTCCCGAACCCCAACCCTATCACCAGGCACCGAGCCCAGAGAAACCCCCAGACCCCACTGAAACGGTAACTCCCTCAGTGAACTCTACCCCTTAGGAGGCCCCAGAGCCTCTCTGAACCCCAGGACTTCACCTGGCTTTGAGGGGAGGCCCTGCCGATCCCTCAGCCTTCGCCTCTGTGGGCCTCATCGGAGAGGCAACAGCTGTGCCCAAGACACCCCGCCCAGCACCTGTCCATTTCTCCCCCCACCCTCCCCCAATCTGGCACTGCTTCCCCTGAGGCTCCAGGACATCATCCGGGCACGTCCACCACCCCCTCGGCCTGTCCCCTCCACGTCACCCATGGTTATTTTTCCAGCACAGACTGACTCTGGCAGCTGGGGACTCCAGGCCCTGGAAATCCCAGGGTCCAACAGGGAGTGGGAGGGATCCCAGCATCCTCACTCCCTCCATCCTCAAATTCCTTTTGGACTTGACTCTGTACAGGAGGAGCCTTCTCCTAACCTGTACCCCACTCGGCTCCCACCCAGAACCAGTTCTCATCCCATACGGCCCTCCCGCCATGGCCCATCTCTCCAAGGATCACTTCACCCTGGCTGCCAGGGAGCTCCCCCAGCTATGCAGGGTCTTCTTTGTCCCAGCCCAGGGCCTGCACTTAGATTTCTGCATGTATAGCATGTCAGCGCCTCACAGCTGGGAAAAGAAAAGAGTCACCTCTTAACATATGCAAGCTGATCCTGCTCCAAGCCCCCACCCTCCAATCCCAGGACACCCACCCACAGGGCTCCCTCTGAAGGTGCCTCCAGCCCCCTAGAACTGCTTGTTCAGCTTTTCTTATCATGACCGGAAAAATCAGCTCAGCCAACCTGGGGTCACAGTGTGAGTCACTGAGACAGCTGTGTCCTGTGGGCAGGAACTAGCACCAGCAAGGCACCTGCCCAGTCCCAACCTCTGCCCAGTTGCTCCAGGCAAGAATGGCTTCCTCCTGGCTGCCTCGGGGCATGGTGAAGGCATCCCCAGGACCAGAGCAAGTGGCAGAAGGGTCCACAGACAGAACACGCCCCCAAATCTCAGCTGCTCAGACAGACACCCTCCATTAGCAGGTGCCGGGGCAGAGCACGTGTGTACCCCGCAAGTACGGGGAGTATGGGGCCTGGAGCCTTGGTACTTTTAGGGGCCACAAAAGTGTTCCCATTTCTTTAAAATCAGTAGGGAAAAAAAATGAATGTAGTCCAAGATGAATTACACTCACTTTCATACTCATGCATCATAAAGCAATTTGCAATGTTTGGGGGGTTTTGTTGTTGTTGTTGTTGTTGTTGTTGTTGTTGTTGTTTTGGTACCAGGGATTGAACTTAGGGGCACTCAACCACTGAGCCACATTCCCAGCCCGATTTTGTGTTTTATTTAGAGACAGGGACTGAGGCTGAATTTGAGAACTTGAGATCCTCCTGCCTCAGCCTCCCAAGCTGATCACAGGCATGCGCCACCGCAACGTATTTTGACAGAGAAAGAGGCTCTTTGACAGCACTGACTCCACATTCTGAGATGGGACCAGATGACAAACCAGATGACCAGATAAGGACGAGATGACAATAATCACAATAACAGCAAGCACTCAGATAGTACCTACGATACGCCACGCCTAGAAACAGCCCTAGAAGGCAGGTACCATTTTCACCCTGTGCTACACATGACAGGGGGAAAGCACAGAATTCTGAGCACACACTCTTGGCAACCCTGCCAAGTGCCACAAGTTTACATCTGCCACTGACCCTCACCTTGATGTCAGGAAACCTCGGGACTAAAAGGAAACCCGGTCCATTGGGTCCTATCTGCCCACTGTAAAGACCGGCAGACTGAGGAACCTATTTCTAAGTGGCTCCAGGTAGGAATCTGGCCAACCAGCACCTTCCAGGAGCCTGCATAAGGCCATCCCAGCCCTGGGGCAGGTGCAGGAGCAGCCAAGCCCAGTGCGGGGGGGAGGGAGACAAGAATCTGAGGGCACCAGTGCTGCAGAAACGCAGGAGGAACCTCAGCATCTGAGGGCCCCAGGCAGAGCCGGACAGCAGAGCCCAGCTGTACTGCTGCCCAGCTGTGCGCCCCAGACAGTCCCTCACCCTCCAAGTCTCGGTTTCCTCATCTTCAAGGAGCAGATAATAGGACCAGCCTCAGGTTGTTGGAAGAAGTCAGGGAGATACTGCAAGAAGTGGGAAGCACAACCTGGCACAGGAGGTGAATAATAAACTGTAACTAAAAAGAATGAGGCAGACAGAGAGTTTGGGAACACACTTCAGGGCGGGGGTTGTGGCTCAGAGGTACAGCGCTCACCTAGCACGGGCAAGGCCCTGAGTTTCATCCTCAGGACAACATAAAATAAATAAATAAAATGAAGATATGTGTCCAACTAAAAAAAAAAAAAACCTTCAAGCACAGCAGGAGGCACACGCCCAGCCCCCTTAAAAAAATACCCGCACCTCAGCCTTTGCTGTGTCTCAGGATATTTGGAAAACTCCATGCTTCCAGAGCAGCCCCCACTCCTGCCCAAATTACACAATAATCACCCAAGGTCAAGGAAAAGCACTTAATGGGACAGACGCCCCTCCCCAGTGAAACTCAGCCTCCAGAGCCCCAAGTCCCCTCGTCTGACCCCTGGCGGACAGGGACCACTGGACACCTTGACCTGGTTCCCCTCCCTGCCCAGCAACACCCTGAACTACCGCGTGGCCGTGGGGAAGCACAACCTGACAGTGGATGAGGAGGGCTCCGTGATCGTGGGCGAGGACACCATCTATGTCCACGAGAAGTGGAACTCCTTCCTGGTGCGGTGAGTCCCCCTGCCCAGGGTTAGGGGCGGTGGACAGGGAGCTGCAGAGCCTGCCCCACCCCCAGCCACACCCTGTCCCCCCACACAGCAGGCAGGTGATGGGGCTCTGCTAGGAGGAGCAGGGGACCTTCCTATCCCATCCTTACCTAAGCATTCCCAGGAAGGTGCCCCTGGAAGGAAGACCCCATCCCTCCACACTGCCTCCCCTGACTCTCCTGAACTGAGTCTGGGCCACCACGTGGCAGCAGGCCTGATAGATGCCCTCTCTCAGTTAATCTCCCAACAGCCCTGGACAAGCCACCAAGACTCAGAGAGGTTAAGGAATATGCCCCAGGGTGCACAGCCCAGCACACTGCCAACTAGGAATCAAGCCAGGTGTGTCTGGGGTCGCCAGGCTCCATTCGGGTCATGGAAAATATTGAAAGTGGCATCTTTTATCATCATAAGCACCCCTCTTCTATGGCTATGATTGCTTCATTGTGATGGTACACACCCCCCACGGTTGAGAAGTCTTCTGCTTCCCATCTCTTCTGATCTGCCTTTCACTGTTGGAATGCTTAAGGACAATCTCTGGTCACCTTGCCTGAGCACAGCCCACAACGCCAGGTCTTGTAGCACTGTCTGGAGAGGTCACGGCCCCTCTGCCCACTCATGCCCTCTGCTTTGGATTCCAGCAATGACATTGTCCTCATCAAGCTCGCAGAGCCTGTGGAGCTGAGTGACACCATCCAGGTGGCCTGCCTGCCAGAGAAGGACTCCGTGCTGCCTCAGGACTACCCCTGCCTTGTCACTGGCTGGGGTCGCCTCTGGAGTGAGTACAGACCCAGGGGGAATTCCCAGAGGCTTCCTGGAGGAAGAAGCTCTCAATCAGCAGCCACACACACCTCTCTTCCTTTCTGTCTGAACATTTTCACCTCTTTTTGAACTGTACAATAATAACTGCTAATATTTATTAAGCACATACTATGTGACAGATGTTAACAAATGGATGCTTTGGGTACTGTAAGGATTAAACAGATCAGATTCTGCCAAGTGTTTACAGCAGGGCTTGGCGTGTTGTAGGTGCCATACAAATAAACTAAAATAAGCCATGTGGGGGTGGGGGATTAGATCTTATGGTAAACCATATGCTCAAATAGGTTCCAGCTAAATTAAAAGGTTACAGGCAGGGCTGGGGTTCTGTGGGAGAGTGCTTGCCTAGCAGAGGTGAGGCACTGAGTTTGATCCTTGGCACCACATAAGAGATGAAGAGGCGTGCTCTCCATCGACAACTACAAAAAAGATATTTTTAATTTTTTAAAGAAAAAAAAGATTAAAAAATGCAAATACATAAAACTATGGGAGACAGATTCAGAACTATACGTAGAACATCTTGGGGATAAAAAGGATCCTTTAATATTTAACCCCAAAGTCAAACCTACAGGAAAATGACTGATGACTCAACCCCCAGAATCTCAATAAAAGATAACTCAAGCAGGGCACAATGGCAGTGTCATGCGAGCAATTGGGAGAGGGGGGGCACGGAGGGGTGGGGCTGAGGCCAGAAGATAGTGAGTTTGAGGCCAGTCCAGCTACCCTGTCTACAGATTAAAAATAGAAAGGGCTGGAGATGCAGCTCAGAGGTAGAGCAAGCCAGGGTTTAATCCTCAGCACCCCAAAAATGTTTTTAATTTAAAATTTAAAAATAAAACCAGACAACTCAGCACACAGCCATCTCTTAATGCTCCAAGTGTGGCCTCCAGTCCGGCTCCTTCCCCACCTTTAGCAGATCCTTGGCTGGCCAAGGGTCCCAAACAGCACTAGGAGTTGCAGCAGGACTCAGCTGCACCCTGTCCCAGGCTCTGGCCCCTGAAGGCCTGGGCTAGGAGGAGCAGGGCTGCCTGGCTGCTCCCTGCTCACTGCCCACTCCCTCCCTCCCTCCCCAGCCAATGGCCCCATCGCTGATGAGCTACAGCAGGGCCTGCAGCCCGTGGTGAGCTATGCCACGTGCTCCAGATGGGACTGGTGGAGCTACATGGTGACGATATCCATGGTGTGCGCTGGGGGTGACGGCGTCATCTCCTCCTGCAACGTGAGTGTCCAGACCCCACACAGGCCCTGCTCCACGCAGCCACACCACTGGGGACACTGGAGGGTGGGGCAGAGCACATCTCTCCTGGCAGGAGACTGACCCTGCCTGGGCCTGGTAGGCTCAGGGGAAACCTGTCACCACTCCCCCAGCACAGGGTGACAGGAGGAGAGCTGAGCATCAGCAGCTGCATCAATTCCCTGTGCACCACTTAGGAGCTCTGTGACCTGGGGCAGACTGGTGAACCTCTCTGGACCTCAGCCTTCCCTCTGGTGGAAAGCGCTGTAGCAAACACTCCCCTGCCTTGCTGTGGGGACTACATGAGTCAAAGGGCCACAGAACAGGCTGCACTGAAGTCTCTGTGCATGTCCCTGCCACCAGCTGTGTCAGTCCAGGCTGGCTGGGGCGTTAGGGAGTCTGAGAACCACAAAACTTCTAAGATAACCAGGGACTGTCCTGCTCCTGACCCACGCCCTCTCCCCACTCCCACCCTCCTGTGCTGCCCAGGCTCCAACAGGGCTCCAGGCCCCAGGGGTTCTCAGGGCAGATCACAGAGGCTTAGCCATGCAGACCTGAACAGCCAGGAAACCAGGGCACAGAGAGGGCTGACATCATCCCGAGATCACACAGCCAACCAAGGGCTATTCTGATGCCCCAGGACTCCCAGAACCAGGCCAAGGCAGCCCCACGCCACACTTCTGTGCCTCCCTCACCAGGAGCAGGCTGAGGCCAACAGTGGGTACTGAGGCTGACAGCTCAGCACATGCCCGCCCCAGCCCATTGCTGAGTCCCCAGCCTGTCCCTGAGGGAGGCCTGGGGACTGATGCCTACTGGGGTCACCTGAAGGGGCCCGCTGAACTGCCAGGGGGAGAACGGTGCCTGGGAGGTGCATGGCATCGTCAGCTTCTGCTACCGAGAGGGCTGCAACACCCATAAGAAGTCCACGGTCTACACCCGCGTGTCCGCCAACACGGACTGGGTCAACCAGGTGGGCCCGGTCTACACCCTCCAGCCACTCGCAGCCCCGCCCCGCCCATGCCCTCGCCCTCGCTCATTGGCCTCGGGGCTCGGCCACGCCCACTCTCGCACCCCTCCCTGTCTTTGGAGAAGCGCTGGCTGAGCGCTCAAGGCCACTGACCTGAGTTGGGCGCAGTGAAGGTCACAGTCAGGAGTTCCATCCAGCTGTCCCTGGGCTTCAGCACACACCTAGGTCCCCGCCCAGGACACACCTTCCCCCAAGAGGGAGCTGTGCGCCTAGAGTGCAAGGCCCGCAGCTGAGAGCAGGTGCCACCGCGGCCATTCACCATGGGGTGGGGGGGGGGGGGGGTGAAGTGCCAAGTGGGGCTGGGTCCTGGGGCAGAGACCAGGGTGGCTTGTCTGGGCCGGGGGCTGCCTGCTGTGCCATGCACGTCCCCTCCCCAGGCCACCGAACCCACAGAGCCTCGTGCTGCCCCAGAAGGTGGCAGGTTTCAGAGGCCTAATACTGTCCCCTGCTCCTCCAGAAAATGCAGCTGTGATTCGCCTCTGGGAACCGCGGCAGCCAATCCCACACGAGCATTAATAAACTTCCTTCCCTGAAAGTGGCCTGGACCTTGATCTCTGTCCCCCCCCCTTCCCTGCTGCCTGGCCAGCTCCCCAGGAGCTGCCCCTCTCTACACAGGGGCCCACTGAGAGACACCCTCAGCCAGGCTGGCAAGGCCTCGGAAGGAGCCACTGGGGGTGTTCATGGGGTCAAGGGAGTCCTGGGGCCACGTGGGTACCTGAGGGACCAGGATTAGGACACTTCAAACACTCCTCCCTGCGACTTAAGATGGCTCTGATCAGCTAATGGCTCCTCTGGTCCTGCCACCATAGTGAGTCTGGAGGGGCCTCATGGGCCCCAGCTGCAGGTGGAGCATGGGCTCTCCCCAAGAGCAGCCTCCCCAGCCCAGAGAAGCCAGGCCCCAGGAGGATGCACAAGCTCAGGACCCCACTGAACCCTTGGGGAAGGAGCTCCCATCAGGTTCCCCCAGCCCCAGTCCCAGGGAGATGTTGGCCTGGGCTCTGTGCTTGGAGCAGCATGTGGTGAGCCCTGACAGGGTGAGATCTGCAGGGACTCCAGGGGGAGCTCTCACTATGTGAGACAGGGAGGGAAACTGAGGCCCCCAGAGGAAGAGCTGGGCCCCGAACACACAGCCTGAGGAGCTCGGGAAAGGAGCTCTCTTGTGGCCGATGGAGGGCCACAAACGCAAGCAATCTAGCGTCCAGTGAGGGACAGCCGGGGTGGGCACCCTCCTCTGGACATAGGGGCTTCTATATGGAGGCCATAGAGGCCCGGGCTCAGCCTGCACTAGTCCCACTGACAGCCCTGACTGGGGGCCAGCTCTGAATTATCATTAAGCCCTCTGCCCCTGAGTCCCAGCCCCGTCCCCAGATAGAGCCCCATGGACCTCAGACTCACTGAAACTGTAACTCCCACACTGAACTCAGTCCTCTATGAGCCCCAGACCTTCTCTGAACCCCCAGATTTCACCTGGCTGTGAGGGGAGCCCTGCCAGCCCCTCAGCCTTCTGCCTTCATGGGCTCATCTGAGAGGCAACACCTGTGCCCAGCTCCTGTCCCAGCAGCCAGTGATTCAGGACCTGTCAGTGGCACCTGCCCATCTCTCAGGCTCTCCCCCATACCCTCCCCCAACCTGGCACTGCTTCTCCTGAGGCTCCAGGACATCATCTGGGCACATCCACCACCCCCTCAGCCTGTCCCCATCACGTCACCCATGGTTATTTTTCCAGCACACACAGGCCCTGGCAGCTGGGGACTCCAAATCCTGGAAATCCCAGGGTCCAACAGGGAGGGGGAGGGATCCCAGCATCCTCACTCCCTCCAGTCCTCAAATTCCTTTTGGACTTGACCCTGTACAGGAGGAGCCTTCTCCTAACCTGTACCCCACTCAGCTCCCACCCAGAACCAGTCTCTTCCCATATGGACCTCCTGCCATGGCCCATCTCTCCAAGGAACACTTCACCCTGGACGCCAGGGAGCTCCTCCAGCACTATGCAGGGTCTTCTTTGTCCCAGCCCAGGGCCCGCACTTGGGAAATATGGGAAGAATGGGTGGACTAATTAATGGTTTCTGCATGTATAGCATGTCAGTGCCTCACAGCTGGGCAAAGAAAATAATCACCTCTTAACATATGCAAGCTGATCCCGCTCCAAGCCCCCACCCCTCCAATCCCAGGACGTCCACCCACAGGGCTCCCTCTGAAGGTACCTCCAGCCCCTTGGAACTGCTTGTTCAGTTTTTCTTATCATGACCGGAAAAATCAGCTCAGCCAACCTGGGGTCACAGTGTGAGTCACTGAGATAATCCTGTCCTGTAGGTAGGACTAGCTCCAGCCCTGCACCTGCCCAGCAAGAGCCCCCACCTCTGCCCAGTTGCTCCAGGCAAGAATGACTTTCTCCAGGGTGCCTCAGGCCACGCTGAGCAGGTGGCAGAAGTTTCCACAGATCAAGTCCCCAAATCTCAGCTGCTCAGACACAGACACCCTCCATGAGCAGGTGCTGGGCATGAGCACGTGTGTACCCCGCAAGTACAGGGAGCTCGAGGCCTGGAGCCCTGGTACCTTTGTGATGGCAAAACCAGACATCAAATAACCTCGTATTATTGGGAGAAACTGTGGATCTGGGCTCAGAATTTGGAGTTTGTTTTCCTCTGGGCCCACTGGTGTAAAATAAAGTATGGAGTTCTCTCTGAGTGCTGCCTGCTGCTTCTCCACCTTTAGGGGTCACAAATATATTCCCATTTCTTTAAAATCAGTAGAAAAAAATGAATGTAGTCCAAGTTGAATTACACTCACTTTTATACTCATGGGTCATAAAGCAATTTGCAATGTAATGGATGGAAAAAGGGGCTCAATGACAGTCAGGCTTAGCTTTCTGAGATGGGGCACACCAGATATTCAGATAAGGACCAGATGACAAGTGTCACAATAACAGCACACACTCAGATAGTCCCTACCCTATGCCACCCCTAGAAACAGCCCTAGGATGCAGCTACCACTTTATCCCCATGGTATAGATGAAGGTGTGAAAGCACAGAGAGGTTGAGACACAAGCACAAGGTCACGCAGCCAGGAAGTGGGGTTGCTGGGTTTTCCTTCCTGTGTGGGCACAGTTCACCGCTAAACACAGCACTCTCCTGCCTGACTTCAGTATCGGAAGCACATGAAGGTCACTTCAGGTTTTCCCAGGGACAATATTTGGTGTTGCCTTATGTAAAGAGCCCCACCTGGTAGAGGTTGTGAAACAAGGAAGTCGCCCTAAAGCTGTCACTGGGCACACCTTTGAGAGCAGCCAGCACCCTCCAAAGAAAGTCAATTTCTCTGTGAACATTCAAAAAACCACGTAATAACCCTTCACCTGGTGCCTCTGTCCCAGTGCCGCAGAGTCTGTGCCGTTTCCACGTCTAAGGCGCGGCACTCGGCCCTGAGTGTCCAGACTCAGCAGACACTCCATAGTGTGGCACTGGCCTGGGAGGGTCTGTGGATACAGAGGTATGTGAGTGCACACCCATCCAGCTGTGCTCTCACATCATGGTCTCTTGCACGTGGCTGAGAAATTGCTGCATCTCTCTGAATACAGGTGACAAGCTTCCACACATAGATGCCCAGTGACTCATCATCCCAGGTTACTCCACGGACCCGGAGGAAACTGAGGCCCAAAGAGCTGGCCCAGGGTCTGGGGTCATCCAGTCAGTCCCTGATGGAGACAGAAAGCAGGTGTCTTGTCCTTCCTCCAGACCCTGCCCAGGCCAAATGCAGGTCACCTGGTTCAGTGCACGTCTCTGCTCACCGTGCCAGTCCCAGAGCAGGGAGAGCTTTTTCAGGGCTTGGCAGCCAACAGCACTGGGACTGGGGTGGCCTGGGCAGTATCCATTGTCCCCTCCACCAGAACCAGCCTCTCAAATGGAACACAAAGCCCACCAGAGCTGGGTGAGACCCCAGGGCAGGGCCTGAAGTCCTCCCAGCAAGACAGACCCCCACTCACACTTCCTCTCTCTGGGTCTTTTTTTTTTTTAATCAAAGTGACTGATTTTTATTTTACCAAAGTAACACGTGATTGTTTCATAAAAGAACCTAAACTGAGTAAAGATGTGCGAGTCAGATTCCTCTTTCGCCCCTCAGATGGCCACCTCCAACCGCAGGCACGTGGGCTTCTGAACCTCTTTATCAGGAAACAAGTCCCAAGGAGACCAGAGGGTGTAACTCAGAAGACAACTTCCAGGGAGACTCGGGCTTCTCCTGGGGCTCCCCCTCTCTCTCAGGGTGAGTAGAAAGGTGGGTTGCAGAATCTCCCCAACCAGGCTGCAGTCAGGTCTGGGAGCAAGGGGATAAAAACAACCTCATGGGGTGGAGGGGGTGCCCCCAAACTGCTGGGGACATTGGATAGGATTTTGAGCACTTAAACTGGAGGTGGCTCAGTGGCGGTATGCTTGCCTAGCAAATGTGAGGCATTGGGTTCGATTCTCAGCACCACATAAATTTAAAGCTATTGTGTCCATCTAGAACTTAAAAAAAAAAAGAAAAAGAATTTTTGAAGACCCACTCCACGGTAGGAGGAGGACTACAGCAACCCCAGCACACAGCACAGTTGGGGCAGAGCAACCTGGGCCCACCACATTGCACCCCCTCTACCAACACGTAGGGTGGCTACAAGTGACTATAGCCAGGACCTACAAGACCATCTTCCAGGTTCCTGCAGGCAAGGTATCGGTGACCTGCAGGGACACTACAAGATTATACTGTAGAAACTGTAATACCTCGAATCCACACTGTGAGACAGGAAGACACACTAAGAAACGGGAAGAAAGTGCCTGAAATAAGCCACACTGATACAATGGTATATCCACTGACAGTACAGGAGCTGGAATGTCAGGGAAGGAGAGCAGAAGGTACATGATTAAAATGATGTGCGAAGCCAAGAATGAATTGAGAGAGCAAGTACAGGCCACAATGAAATGAGAGAGGACATACAGGTAGCAAAGGATTACTTCAAGAAAGAGAGAGACGCAGGAAAAAAAAAAAAACAGAAATCCTTGAATGAAGGAAACAATAAACCAAATAAAAATTCAATATAAAACATCAAGAACAGACTAGATCACTTGGAAGACAGAACCTCAGGCAATGAAGACAAAATATGTATCTTGAAAACAAAGTTGGACACACGGTGAAGATGGTCAGAAACCATAAACAGAACCTTCAAAGAATTATGGGATGATATGACAAGACCAAATCTAACAATTATCAGGATAGAGAAAGGCACAGAGATACAAACCAAAGGAATGCACAATCTCTTCAATGAAATAATAGCAGAAAATTTCCCAAACATGAAGAATGAATTGGAGGGGCTGGCATTGTGGCTCAGCAGTAGAGCACTCACCTAGTACATGTGAGGCGCTGGGTTTGATCCTCAGCAGCACAAAAATAAAAAAAAATAAAGATATTATGTCCAAATATAACTAAAAAATAAATATTAATAAA